CTTTTATCCTCGGAGGTTCCTGTACCAACTGAAGTCTTTAGAACCGGTTCAGGGCCATCAGAGTCACTGAAGGAGGTGTTTATTTACAGTTCTGAATGTGTGGAAGAAGAAGGTCAGCATTTGTTGGAGTTTCTTTAAATTCTGCTCTGGTGCCTGGTGATAGAGACGCAGAGAGTGTTTCATCCACAGAGCCTGACGCTGTCTGAGACTTCAGGGTTCATATCTGGATGCTGAAGAGTTTGTATTTACTTCATTTAACAAGAAAACTGAAGATGCATTTCTGTTGGCTCAGACAGTCAGGGAACAGCACTGTATCTGCTTATCAGCACATCTAAAACCTGAAAACGTTAATGCAAGAAGGTGAGTGGATCTGCCGATTTCAGACTCTGATAACAGGACTGAGACAAAGACAGTTTTGCTCTAAGGTGAGAGTACGGAGTATGATTTAGATATGAAGGGACCTGGTTTTATTGATTCTGGTGTGCAGGCAGGTAAAAATTTTAAAAAAGCCACTAATGTAGTACCAGTAAACCCCTGTACATCCTCAGTACATTCCCAAACATGTATGTTCCAGAGAAGCAAGCGGTTCATACGAAGTTCAGTCAACAAAATGAAAAAAGCCTCTTTTTCACAGCCTTCCTCTCATGAACCTCTGGGCAGTTTCATCTGTTAGTTTCCGATCTCTAAGTGAAAATTCTGTTACATATTTATACCTCTGAGATTAGCGCTGAATGCCAAGGAGGTGAAAATGCCATCAAATGGGTCAGACTTAGACTTAGACTTAGAGCACAATGACAATAGACTTATTGTCATTGTGCAATTTCTTGCACAGCGAAATTGGGTAAACTGCTGGGTCAGGAGTGAAGTAATGTTCAGAACTGTCACCAGAGGTTGGACACCAGCCTCAGTAAAGTTGTGCTCAGTGGGATATTACTTTGAGGCACAGATGTTTTGGGATATTGCTTAGTGCAGAAGTTACATGAGATCTTCAACTTCCTAAATCAGTGCTTCTAAAAGTTAAATAAGTGTTTCCGTTTTCATTATCCATGTCTGTCTTGTTTAAGGGATCATTTGATCTGTATGGAGCTGTGGCCGTCAGACAAGCATCGCCTAGCCTACACGACCTCGCTGCTTATCTTCCAGTACTGCCTGCCCCTTCTGCTGGTGCTCCTCTGCTACCTCCGGATCTTTCTACGCCTGAGACGTCGCAGGTCACACAGCTTTCCGTTCACTTACTCTGTGATAACTCGGTTCATCCACATCATCTTTAACTGTTCGTGTTATCGTGTCAGATTAGAGCTTTGTGTGGACACTGTGTGTGGTTACGCTGTGAGTTAATGCTTCTTGAGGTTTGCTGTGACATTTCCTGGTGGATTGTATGATGATGGATGTCATGCTGTGTTGTGCAGGGACATGCTGGAGCGCAGCAGGAGGACTCGAGGAGCCCAGAGGATAAACGTCATGCTGCTGGCCATCGTCATAGCCTTTGCTCTGTGCTGGCTGCCACTGAATGTCTTCAACACTCTGTTTGATTGGCACCACCAGGCCCTCCCAGACTGTCAGCACGACACAGTCTTCTCTGCCTGCCACCTGACGGCGATGGCCTCTACCTGCATTAACCCCATCGTTTACGGCTTCCTCAACAGCAACTTCCAGAGGGAGCTGAAGTTGACACTGCAACGCTGCCAGTGCGGCAACCGGGCTACAGAGAGCTACGAGAGCTTCCCTCTATCCACCGTGGGCAGTGAGGGCATGACCAAAGCAACGTCACTCAACAGGATGGGCTCGATGTGCATCCCCTCACCTAGACCTGAGATCGGTTCAGCAATACTCGCCAAGACATTACCAGCTGCCACCTAAAATCAAGGACTATGAGAACTGTCTTCTGACAGGTGGTTCATCAGCGGTTCACAGCTGGAGGCAGTGTGCTAACAGCTGTCTGGGATGACTGCGTAAGTCAAATGCTGCTTCATCTTGGCTTGGGTTCCATCACTTCACTGCCAGAGATAAATAGCTGATTTGACCTGTCACCAAATGTTTGGTGGCAAGAATGAATGAAGAGGCTGAACGATGCTGCTTTGAGTCCCGAACACGAGCAGGAATCCTTCTTTAGAGTAACTCTGCTGAGTGACAGAAGAGAGAGGAGGCAGGAGAGCTGGTAGCAGGGACTTTTCAGTAGGACACGCCCCTTAGTTACTATAACTAGGGCTATTAGTTTTAGCTTTTCTCGAATGTTGTTTGAGTGCTGCAACCAGCCATTCTACAGCATTTCAAAATGGCAACATTCTAATGACATTCTAGTGTCATAGACACAGTGGTGGGTTCTGTTGGTCAGTCTGTTGGTTGGACAGTCTGTCCACCAACAGACTGACCGACAGAACAAACAGCT